AGCACACAATGCCATTATCTTTCTGAGACTAACCTTTGCAACTGCACAGCGCACGGCCATGGACCTGTCTGTGAGCAGAGAGCGGGCGTTCTTGTAGATATCTCTGTGACATGAAGCTGCAGCTCCTCCCAGACCACAGAGCACCTTCTGCAGGCTGAGAAGGATCTCTCCTCGGCCTTGGGACTACATCAGCAAAACAATTTTGAAAACAGGACAATTCAAATACATTTCACATCTGTTTCTGAAAATACATCTCTTTTTGTTATCAATTTCTATTCTTATTTTCCAGTTTAAAATTGGACCAAACACATTCTTGCTGAAAGAAAATGGAAAGCTGCATTCCATTGCGAAATATACGTACCTCTGCACTCTTTAATGCCTTCAACATATTATTAATGGTGTCGGGAAATGAGCTTCCGAGCATCCTGCCCATCTTGTCATAAAAAGCTCCAACGCATGCCACTGCAGCACTGCAAAATATTTATACATTTTAAATTATTTGAGAAACAACACAATAATGAAATGAGACCTAATTCTGTTTAAATAAATATAAATAAATGAGTTCACGTTTATAACTTAAATCTCCTATTAAAACATTCAAACCGGCTTTTATTCACTCCACAGTGTCAAGGAGGTATGAAGGATTGATAGATAAAAGCCTACAGTAAAACAAAATATCTAATATCAGCAAGAAAACACAGCATAATATCTGCTAATGTACACTTAATCGACCCTTTAAACATGAAATGTCATTCTGCAGATTAACATTTGGCTTAACTGCTAATACCCTTGAAGGTGAGCCTACAGTATATAGCCGAAACACTCAAAGCAGTGCTAGCAGCTTTTATCCTAATGCAAATATGTAGAGTGAGTGTATTTCTAAAAAATATATAAAAATAAATGGGATCCTACAGTTTTGTTGGCAAGTACGCAGGTGTGTCATCCTTGCTTTTGATAATCTCATTGCATTTATCCAGAGTCTGAAAAACAGTGAAGGTGTCGCCGATGCTGTAAAGCGTGGCCAGGTTTTTGGCCAGCAGTTTTCTTGTTGGTGGTCCAGGGGCGCTGCTGATCAGTCCTGTCAGCTGTTCCACCAGTTTCTTCTGCTTCTCCTTCACATCCACCTGCCATTTGAATGCAGAACAATGTCACAAACTGCCTCTAATGAAAACCACTAAGAAAAACAAAGCTGAAATCTCAATGGTCACCCTATTTGCTGTCACGAGCACTTTATCCAAGAAGCGGAGCCATTCGAAGATGAAGACAGGCCTCTTTGCTTCAGTGATCTGGGCCAAGGCTTCTTCGTTGAGCAGCAGACTGTGAGCCAGCTCCATGGCGAGGACCTTTCAAAACACTGCTGCACACCGTAGCCTCTGCAATGTTACATACGTGAGTATGCTTTGTCAGTAAACGTTTATTTTCTAATATATGCCATTCCTTCCAATCACCTAAAACGTAAACAAGCACCACCTACGTCACTAAATATCTGTTGACATTTTTGCCATCCTTACAATGCCTGTATCAGGTGGATGCAAGACACACAAGTAATAATAAAGACATAGCAGCTATCAATGCTTTAGAAGTCGTTAAACACTGTTTGTTTTTACGCAGAATGTGTACAAATCTGAACTGTAAAAGCTATGTATCGTTAACACTTTGCTGCTCACTTCTGACAGCTGCCTGCCTCCAGCTGTTGATGGCTAGCTGGTTAGCAACCTAAGCTAGCTGGTTACTACGAGGAACAAGCTATACTCTAAGCTACACACACACACACCTAAACTGAGTGTAAGCTATCTTTTATCATCTTTTAAAACATTTAGCATTTCAATAACACTTACACAACAACACCTTCTCTGAAATATGGTATACATGTTGTTAAATTGTTCATCTTACCTGTTTTCGACAACCTAGCGATGAACGACGACGAGAATCGGCGGTGTCGCGTTAAAATCAGCCCGAAGTGAAACTGAGGAAACGATGTGCACAAAAAAAAAACTACCGCAACCTGAGCCGTACAAAAATATTTCAAAGTATGTATAGGCTTTGTCCAAGTTGTCTCCTTGAATTTGAAATTAAAAGAGGTGGTGGAAATATTTCTCAAAACTGCCGGAACTGTGTACTCGTTGCCTCACTTGTAGCTACTCGGAATTTGTATTTGAACGAACCAAACATCAGTGAAGAAAATACAAATGCACAACCGGATTATTTTTAAAGTGCTGTAGCTCTAATTTACTACATTTATTCTCTTTTGCGTGGTCAAAATGTCTGATGAGGAAGAGGACTATATGTCCGATGCATTTCTCAGTAAAATGTAAGCCTTGTGGAGATTTCTAATTAAGCTACTACATTAACGTTTACTGTTACATGATTTACATTATTGTCCTGTGGTATCAGGACTGAAAAACGAAAATTGGGTATTTTTTTAGAGTTGTGAAAATATAGAAGTGCGAGTTTACAGCCATGCTGACAGTGTTGTATTATCCCAATGACTGTTTATATGTCCCTCTGTCTTTCAGACCAGATGTGAAGCCAGGTGTCAGCATGGTGAGGCGGTTAAAAGAAGAAATAAAGAAGGAGACACAGATCAAGGAGACAAACATCAAGAACCGCCAGAAGACCTATAAAGAGCAAGAGAAGGAAAGCAGAGAGGCAGCTTTACAGAACTCAATTTGCAATGAGAACAAGGGATTTGCAATTCTGCAGAAAATGGGTTACAAAGCTGGTCAAGGCCTAGGGAAGGCAGGCAAGTTTCTTCTTTATTAATGTAATTGTATTCTGTTTTGCATTTGTAGTGTGTGTATTCATTTACATACATGTTGCCTCTTCAGGAGCAGGAAGGGTTGATCCAATTCCTTTAAACATCAAAACCGGTAGGCAATACCTTTGTGACACAATTACATTTGGTTTGGTAAAAGTATGTGAAATTCAACTGCTGGCTTACAGACTTGATTATGTGTCTTTGAATGCTAAATCAGACAGAGGTGGAATTGGAATGGAAGAGGTGAAGAAAAGAAAAGCTGAGGAGGAACTTCAACATTATCGTCAGAAAACACGAGCCAAACAACACAATGAGACAAAGTCTCTGGAAGACTTTAGGTGAAGTTTGTAGTCCTCCATGAGATGCACTTTGGCTCTGACTATATCCCATCTTATCATTCAAATGTTTCAAAATGTGTGTGTGTGACGGTGTGCTTTTTTACATCAGGTCGAGAGTAAAGACGGAGAGAGAGGAGCGGAAGATTGAAGGAGATCTCAGAAAGAGTCAGCGAGCCTGTGAGCAGCTTGACAGTCAGAAGGTTAAGGATAAGCTCATCACTATAATACAGTGCTAATGCTATTGTTAAAGAACTAAATTATTTTCACTGAGAATAAATACAAATGTGCCATGAGAATGACCATGATTTTTTCATTTAATCGATGTAGTAACAGCCCTTATGGTTTTCTTTGTGTAAATCTTTTGGCTATATTGTCTTTGCAGGGCATCACTGTCCCAAGGGAAGACTGGTACTGGCCTAAAATAGAAACTAATGACGAGGAGGATGATGTTGAAGAGAAGGAGGAAGAAGAAGAAGAAGAAGAAGATGAAGAGGAGATTGTTGAATTAAGCGTCAGTATTGTTAACAGTGCTGTAATGTGTAATTGTAATACATTAACCCAAATCAATTCTGTTGTCAAATACATTTTTGGTAATAATAGTTCAAATAATTGTTGCCAAAAAGCATACATAGGAAATGTATCTCACATTCTGCCAGTGTATAGTACACTATCGTTGTCTTGGCATAAGGTAAATAGTAAAATGAATGTATTTGATATGTGTCTCTCTTTGTTACAGTCTTTTGACAAACTGCCCATTTTGACGTCCTATTTGAGAGGAATCCATTTTTACTGCATATGGTGTGGGACCACCTACAATGGTAAGAGTGATGGCAACATGGCTGTTGGTTGTTATTGTTGTTGTTATTGCCTTTGCAGATATTTTTATATACATTTTTTTTCTTTTTTCTTACAGATGAAGACGACTTGTGCTCTAACTGTCCCGGGGACACAGAAGCAGACCACGATTAAACTCAAAAATATGAAAAGTAGTTCCCAGTAAAACAGCAGTTGAAAATGTTTAACCTGCATAACATAATGTTAAAAGGGGGTGCAGAGAGCATTTTACGCTGTGAAACAGGCTCGTCACCCCTGGTTCTTAAGCAGTTAAGGAAATAGCCGATTAGCAGTACAGAAATATGTATTTATTGTTCCCATTTGAATCTGTTTCCATCTCTGGAAGAATATCACTGTTTACTGTGTACGGCGGTCTTGGTTTTATGAAATCTACATTAAGTCAGTGGGAAATTCAGGATGCCTTTTTTATTTACCTTTTTTAAATGTTTAAGATATGTTTCAGGAGCAATTGAAATCCTATGTTTTCATTAAATGTTTGAAGATATATACCTTGTTATCTTAATTTGTATTTAAGCAACCTAATAATACAATAATAAATCACATTAATTTAGGTTTAATAGAATGTAATTGTGCCTTTGTTTGTGTGTGACCATTAGTTGTGAGTGTATATAGGTCCTCTATTTGCTGGGTAAAAACCCTCTAAAAAAACAAACTGTACCATCACCAACTCCAGCTCCCATGAATCTTAGCACTTGGCTCTTACCTAAACCTTCTTGGGATCTGTAGTTTTTGAATGCTTACAGCGTTTTGTCAAGGTAGGCACATATCTTATTGAAGCTACAAACGTTTCAACAACAAAACATAACAAACGTTTAAAAAATCAAGACAAATTATATATAATATCGTAGAAAGCCGAAAATAAAACATTATAACAGTGGTCTACCTAATTGCTATAAAAACAAAATAATCACATTCACTACTTAAACTTTTCCCATAAACTTCCCAAAGTTATTATAACCTTAAACTGTATATAGCATACAACTGTTTCACTGTTATAGCTTTCAATTGGTTCCTATTTGCTTAAAGGCTGCCACGATGTGTGACGTTGTCGTCAACCGAGAAAACGAAACTTAATTCGGTCAGGCGGAATCGAGCTACGAAGAACACGGGGCAGTACAGTTGTGATGAAAACTGAAATATTTTAGCTAATAGCTAATATCCTGAATGTTGCACTTTGAAATGACATTCCGACTGTAGGGATATGCATAATGGACGTAGCTAAGCTAAACGAGTATGCTCAGAGGGAGCGGTTGTCGCTGAGGTATGAGGACGTTGGATCTGTTGGCCCGGATCACATTAAAACGTGAGTTGCATTCATAATGATGATTCGCCATCTTTTAAAGTCATGCATGCAGGATTCTAAGTTACTGAGACTTTATTAGCCTGACACACTCCTATAGTATGTGTTGAGAGTATTTTGACATGGTGTTTGTTTGTAGAAGATAAGGAAATGGGTCTAGGCATGGGCGCCTAGTTATAGCAGAAACGGTATAGGCCTACATTGTTATATTAGTTTGTTTATTAGAAGTTCATATTAGTTCGTCTTCCTTGTAGTGTAGGAGTGTCGTTGGTTATAGTTTAGAGTAGGGGAGAACGATTAGCGCAGTAAGGGTTGGCACGAACTGCACAGGGGGCCAATACATATCCTCTGTGGCACAGACGATTATTTATACCAGTATGTCCTTGTGTTTGCATGTTTATAGACGCCCCCATCAATTTGAGGCAATTAATTTAAACATAACGTTAAAAGGCACAAGTTCACTTGCTGGCAGTAATTTCATTCATTTTTGACAAGGGCTTAGTGTGCATGAGTGCAGATGGGTGTGAGACGTGCAGAGGTGGAAGAAGTACTCACATCTTGTACTTTAAGTAGAAGAACCACAGTGTAGGAATATTCTGTTACAAGTAAACGTCCTGCATTCAAGATAAAAGTACAAAAGTATTAGGATCAAAAATATTCTTAAAGTACCAAAAGTAAAAGTACTCATTATGCAGTTTGGCACATTTCAGAATAACATATACTGTATGATATGTTTTTTTATTATAATAATTGATGCATTAAAGTGTTTATCAAAGCTGGTAAAGGTGCAGCTAGTTTTAATGACTTTGGATACTGCAGGGTAGCTTGTGAATTTACTCCAGGTGTAGCTAAAGTGTTATTTAAGTGTTGATTATATTTCACATCTTTAATCCAAATCTGCGTAAGTAACTACATCTATTAAATAAATGTAGTGGAGTAAAAGTACATAATTTACCTCTGAATTGTAGTGGAGTAAAAGTATCTCAACATTGTACTTAAGGTACTTACTCTACAGGTTCCACATTTACTGATGCTTATTTTTCATTGTCTTTTTATAATATATCTGTGTATCTTACATACAGGCATATCATTTGTTTAAGTTATTTAACAACATAATTTAAAATATATATTTACTGTTTCTTTACCAATATGTGTGGTATTTACTCTGACATCATAAAATTACAATTTTCAAATTGCATTGTAGTTTACAAAATCTTGATGACAGCTATAATTCTTAATCTTTTGATTTGCATTTAAATCATTTTGAGATGCCTTGCTGTTTGAATCATGCAACATATAAAGTTATATTTTTATGAACTATTTTCATACAGTCTCTGAGATAAAACGTAGTTTATATTATCGTAAATATTGACTAATTACTTATACTTAAATGGGTTTCTCTGTAAACATACAAAATAACACATATGTACAATAAGTGGGTCATCATGACATACATATCCTCTGGGTCACATTCATAACCTATAAACTTTGACATCTCATCAGCAACTACCCCCAACAGTGGCAGTTGCATAGTTTACCGATGAGGTCCAACAATGTACGTTTATAACTTCAACTGTGGGGATTTTAAGTAAATGCAGATTCATGTCTTTGTAACACAAAGACATCACACACATCACATCACATTATCATCATCATCTTGCATTTCAACAAAGTTTTACCATTTCTTCTCAGGTTTACAGTCAGAGCATTCGTGAATGGTAATGTGTATCCTGATGGTGTGGGAAATAACAAGAAGGAAGCCAAACAAAACGCAGCTACACATGCCCTGAGGTGCTTGTTGGAGAAAACACCTGACCGTGTAAGATTATTTTACCTCTTTATTGACATACTGCATGTGTGAGTACCGTATTTGTATTTCAAAGTATATTAGACCAAATCACTATCTTCATATCTTCTTTATTTATATTTCTTATTTTCTTGACAGACCGAGAAGGTAGCTGAAGCTTCTTCTGCACCAGTTCTACAAACAAGTTTCACTCAGCCCAAATATACAAGTTGGCTAAATGAATATGGTCAAAAGAAACGGCTTAGTATAAGGGCATCGGAGTCAACAAGACTGGGACAAAATAATGCTGTTCCGTAAGTCTCTTAATTTTCTCAACTTTCCAGCTATTTTGTCACAGTTTTGAAAAAGCAATCAATACAACCTTTTTCTGATATTAGATGCTGTTGCTTCATTGTTGGTGATAAAGAGTATCCAGCTGCCACTGGGAGAACGAAAAAAGAAGCTAAAGAGGAAGCAGCCAAGCTTGCATATAATGAGATATGTGGCAGTAAAACTACGGAGGTAAGTAGTTAATACTCACTAGTTTCTCCAGGCTTAATGAAAAGCCTATAACAAATGATGTTGTTTTCAAGTCTAGAGGGGAGAAATATTGTGGTGCATTAAGCCAAGAGGAAGAGGAAGGAAAGGCATGTTCATTACTTTGTGTTCCTCTGTGTTTTTTAGGCATCTTTGTGCTCAGCTGCGTCTGATGACGGGGCGCTTGCCAGGGTGTCCACGCCACCGAGCCCACCGTAAGGCACCGACTAAGGATTACGCCATATGTTAAAATTCCATGTTAAGAATCTTTTACTATAATGTCTCATTTTATTCTCCAAGGGAGTTCCTTAATCCCAAACCTAAAAGTCTGCCCAAGACTTCAACTGACTCAGCTGTTTTCTCAAATTTATCCAATCTTCCTGAGGACAAGGTCGGTTATTTCCTGTGCTATCCTCTTAATGCTTTCATACATTGAAATACAAATGATGTACAATATATATATATATATATATATATGCCGTTAATAACTGTGCAATATATACCTGGCTGCTATATCTTCAGAATTGTTACAGGATGTGTATTGTGTAAATTGTGTCATATTTTAAAATGTTGTATCTTTAATTTTTTTTTTATGCTTGCTTCTTAGTTAACATTAAGCTTTCTTTGGCTCTTTCTGCTGTAACAAATGTAAATGTCTCCTCTGCTGGACAAATAAAGGTATTCTGATTCTGATACTTCTTCAGCTGGTACTGCTCAGTCTATTACAAAGGTTGGATTATTAACCTTTAATGTTTTACGTAACTGTTCATGTATTTAATTGTCTTTTCTGCTATTGGAAAAATAGCAGCAAGTGACTTAATCAATTAGGAGGATGCTTTTTAGGGTTACACATTTTTGGTGTGAGCAAATCAGAATCAGAATACCTTTATTAGTCCCACAGAGGGGACATTTACAAGTTAGCAAAACCAAGGGTGTGTCAATATTTGCGGCCATATTAGTGTAGTTCACAGCATTGAAATCTGAGTAGTAATTACAGACTTCTTTAGGAAATTAAGTAATGAATTTTGCATATATCCCTTGAGCAAGGCACCGGACAATCCCCCCCACTCCCATTGCTCCCCGGGCGCTGTGCAATAGCTGCCCACTGCTCCTAGTACTAGACTCCTGGTACTAGGATGGGTTAAAAGCAGAGAACAAATTTCACTGTGTGTGCTGTGTGCTCTGCATGTGTGACCATTAAAAAGGGTTTCATCCCTCCCAATTCCTCTTCTTCTTCTTATATATATATATATATATACCCTCAATTATAATTGGCTGTGTTTTATTTCTTTTTGAAAAGATTCAAAGTCCAGACGTGAAGCCAAAAATAAGGTAAAGCATCTTCTCCGGTTCACGCTAAAGCTACAGTACATCATATTTCACCAGATGTTATTTCTGATAGTTCTTTTTTTTTCTAGAATTGCAGCAAATTTCAAAAATGTCCCCAGAAGCAGCAAAGATGTAAGAAAATATCAATCGTGCTGGATTCGTTTGTTGTTTTTTGTCTGTCTTTTTAACTGTCCTTATATCATTTATAAAGGATGTGATCAATTTCAATGACAAGAAGACAGGAAGTAGTCCAATTAAGGAAACTACAAAGCAGTCAGTGAATTCAAGGTATGGAAAATACTATAATAATATAGTAGCATAGTATCATATTTACACTGCTGTGGCCTTTACCTTCTGTTCTATGTATGTATATTTATTTTGTTTTGTCACAATTTTTCCCTCAACAGGTTCACATCTGAATTTGACTCCATTGTGCGCCTCGGCAGCGGAAGCTTCGGTCGTGTTTATAAGGCACAACAAAAACTGCTAAAGAAGGATTATGCTATAAAGATTGTCCCTTGCAAAGAGTAAGTAACGTATGAAAGATGCTTCCTTTTGTTTCCGTTTTAAGCGCTGTGTTCCTTTACATTTTTTGTTTTGCATAATCAAAGGTATGTTTCATTAACTGATCCATGTTCTTGTTCTCATCAGGATCAAAAAAGTTCTACGAGAAGTGACAGCATTGTCAGACCTCCATCACAGCAACATCGTGCGATACTACACCTGTTGGTTGGAGGATTCAGGATACCAATGGGACAGCAAAGATGACAGTGGCAGTTCCTCACAGTAAGCCACACGCACTAAAGTTTAAGTCATTTTTATCATATATAGTTTTAGTCAACAACATTTTATTACGTTTTACTTCAATACTGGTCAATGAATGTTTCCTCTTTTATTTTGTCAGCCATCTTTTAAGGACTATTGTTTTTTTTTTTCTGTGTCAAATTACCTTTTTAGTAATCAGATTATACTAAACTAAGTTACATTTTCTGAATCAAAATCTCAAACTTGATAGTGCATGTCAATCGTCACAGTTGGTGTCCTCTTGTCATCATCTCCTGTTATTCATTAAAATAATTGACAAACATATTTGAGCATAGTTTTAGTTATATTTAAAGAGGCCATATTCTGCTCATTTTCAAATTAGTATTTTGTGCCTCTACTGCGACATGTTTCCATGCTTTAATGTTCAAAAAGCTCTTTATTTTTCTCATACTGGCTGTGCTGCTTTTCACCCTCTGTCTGAAACCAGAGCCCAGTCTGCTCTGATTGGTTAGCTGGCCGGATCTGTTGTGATTGGTCAACCGCTTAGAGATGTCCCGCCCCTCGCCTATCAATCCCAATGAAAGACTTGGCCAATAGAAGCGAGTGTTACATTGTGTAGTCACTATGTTACTGAAGTAACAAAGGGGTCCGATGGAGGTGTTTCAGGCCGAGGGGGGGAGTGTGTGGGAGAGAAACTCCCTGTGGAGTTTACTTGCACACAAACCTATATAACACACTACAGGAAAAGGGAAAACTCAAAAAAGCTAAAAGGGCCTCTTTAAGAAACCATTTTTTTCTCTTTTTCTAGGTCAACCGGTAATTCGTCGGTTAAGTTCTTTTATATTCAGATGGAGTTGTGTGAAACTACACTCAGAGTGTGGATAGACCAGAAGAATGTTCAGAATGTGAAGAAATCGCTGCGAGACTCCAAGAGAAGAGAAGAGGGTCTAGCTATTGCTCAGCAAATAGTCAGCGGAGTCGAGTACATTCACTCCAAGATGCTCATACACAGGGACCTGAAGGTGAGAGAAAGTGAAAAAAAAACATTGTTTAGTACACCACGTCGATCATGAAGCTACAGGTTTCTTTTTGTATTTTCCATGGTTAGCCTGCCAACATCATGTTTAGGCAAGATAGAGAAGTGAAGATCGGAGACTTTGGTCTGGTCACGGATGAGAATGACGACGATGCTGACAACCTGAGGGAGAGAACGGTGTACAAAGGAACCCCGGGATACATGGCTCCAGAGCAGGTGAGATGTTCTGTGTTATTAAACATGTATGCAGATTTTAACCACTAATGATGCTGTCCAGCTAACTAACATTATTATTTTGCTCTTATTTATAACAGAAAAACAGGCGCACGAGTTATGATCGAAAAGTGGACATATTTGCTTTGGGGTTGATCTTTTTTGAAGTCTTTTGGAAGATCTTACTTGATGAAAGGAAACCGGTGAGTTATTGAGATTCCTAAATGATTTCCAGTTGGTATTAACTGTTTATTATACAAATATTTAGCTAACTGATAGAAAATAGGTGTTATGCAATTGATATTCATATTTCAACAGTCATTAGTAGGGTTAGGATTAGATTTGCTCCATTTTACAATAAAATACCAACAAAATAATGTATATTTATTCGCATAGAGGAGCCAAATAAAAAATGTGCACATTGTACTACAACTTATACCAACAATAATTATGTACAAATTACAAAACATGCCAAAGTGATGTGAATATTACACAGTTGAATAATGCATGTAAGTTATATATATACAGTGGGACAAAAAAGTATTTAGTCAGCCACCAATTGTGCAAGTTCTCCCACTTCAAAAGATGAGAGAGGCCTGTAATTTTCATCATAGGTATACCTCAACTATGAGAGACAAAATGAGAAAAATAAAATCCAGAAAATCACATTGTCTGATTTTTAAAGACTTTATTTGCAAATTATGGTGGAAAATAAGTATTTGGTCAATAACAAATGTTCATCTCAATACTTTGTTATATACCGTTTGTTGTCAATGACAGAGGTCAAACGTTTTCTGTAAGTCTTCACAAGGTTTTCACACACTGTTGCTGGTATTTTGGCCCATTCCTCCATGCAGATCTCCTCTAGAGCATGATGTTTTGGGGCTGTCGCTGGGCAACACAGACTTTCAACTCCCTCCAAAGATTTTCTATGGGGTTGAGATCTGGAGACTGGCTAGGCCACTCCAGGACCTTGAAATGCTTCTTACGAAGCCACTCCTTCGTTGCCCGGGCGGTGTGTTTGGGATCATTGTCATGCTGAAAGACCCAGCCACGTTTCATCTTCAATGCCCTTGCTGATGGAAGGAGGTTGTCACTCAAAATCTCACGATACATGGCCCCATTCATTCTTTCCTTTACACGGATCAGTCGTCCTGGTCCCTTTGCAGAAAAACAGCCCCAAAGCATGATGTTTTCCACCCCCATGTTTCACAGTAGGTATGGTGTTCTTTGGATGCAACTCAGCATTCTTTCTCTTCCAAACACGTCTAGTTGAGTTTTTTACCAAAAAGTTATATTTTGGTTTCATCCGACCATATGACAGACATTCTCCTAATCCTCTTCTGGATCATCTAAATGCTCTCTAGCAAACTTCAGACGGGCCTGGACATGTACTGGCTTAAGCAGGGGGACACGTCTGGCACTGCGGGATTTGAGTCCCTGGCGGCGTAGTGTGTTACTGATGGTAGCCTTTGTTACTTTGGTCCCAGCTCTCTGCAGGTCATTGACTAGGTCCCCCCGTGTGGTTCTGGGATTTTTGCTCACTGTTCTTGTGATCATTTTGACCCCACGGGGTGAGATCTTGCGTGGAGCCCCAGATCGAGGGAGATTATCAGTGGTCTTGCATGTCTTCCATTTTCTAATAATTGCTCCCACAGTTGATTTCTTCACACCAAGCTGCTTACCTATTGCAGATTCAGTCTTCCCAGCCTGGTGCAGGTCTACAATTTTGTTTCTGGTGTCCTTTGACAACTCTTTGGTCTTGGCCATAGTGGAGTTTGGAGTGTGACTGTTTGAGGTTGTGGACAGGTGTCTTTTATACTGATAACGAGTTCAAACAGGTGCCATTAATACAGTTAACAAGTGGAGGACAGAGGAGGCTCTTAAAGAAGAAGTTACAGGTCTGTGAGAGCCAGACATCTTGTTTGTTTGTAGGTGACCAAATACTTATTTTACTGAGGAATTTGCAAATAAATTCTTTAAAAATCAGACAATGTGATTTTCTGGATTTTCTTTTTTTTTTTTTTTTTCTCATTTTGTCTCTCATAGTTGAGGTATACCTAGGATGAAAATTACAGGCCTCTCATCTTTTTAAGTGGGAGAACTTGCACAATTGGTGGATGACTAAATACTTTTTTGCCCCACTGTATATATAGTCTGTTTTGTACAGTTATATACGGTTTAAATGTATGCTATAATAACAATGGCTCTGTTGTATTTTCAAGTGTCTTAGTAAGTCATGACAGTGAGTCAGCATTCACAAAAGCAGGAACTTGAAGTTGAAACAGCCAAATGGATGTTGGTCACCAGTGCTCTTCTGGCTGTGACATCTCAAGACACCTTCTGGGAAATGTTTGGCAGCTTATCGATTTCTAACACACTAACAACATGCTTGTTTTTTTCTCCCTTTTTTTGTATCACATGAATTTTAGATTTGGGATGATGCCAGAGACCAGATGTTACCTCAAGGGTTTCAACAACATTTTCCACTGGAGGTACACCAGCATTCTTTGATTTGCTTGACACATAAAACCATTTTTTTCACAGGATGGAAGCCATTCGTCAAGGCCTCCAACAGGGCACTGGTTATGTTAGTGTATAGGGGTTTGGACTGTTAAAACATATTTGAAGCCTCATGTAATAAGTAGCCTAACAAAGCCTGTTGTATGTATAATGTAGTCACATTTGTAATAGCTAGTAAAACAGATTTCTTTACTTGGTAGGTTGCCCAATTAAAGTCAGCGGAGTATATGGAGCTTCTTGGGAAATGGCAGCGTCCATGTAAATGATGGAGATCACACTCTTTTTGTGTTGCAGTGCAAAATCATCATGTCAATGCTGTGCGAGAAGCCCCAACACCGACCCGAAGCAAGTAAACTAAAGACAGACGTTGAAGAGTGCACTCGTAGATTTACATGTCTTAAAGACATGTGCCTCAACAGTCAGACTTTTTGATTATTACAAGAAAATCATTAAACAACAGGCATAAGCATCAGTCGTCACATGCATGACTATTCAGCATCATATTCCATAACACTGAGAGTTTTTATTTCCTAAAAGGGGTATCTGTTTAAATGACTGATGTTTTCATGAACTAATATGACACATTTTTCATAATTATGTATCATTGATTGGGAATGGCACACAGAAATGGGTCATTCTGTGTGAAATCTACCAAAGTGCAATACATTTACTTGAGAAAAACAATTAGCTCTGTATTTTAATTGATTTATTCTGCTCTGTTTTCTAAAAGAACAAGTTATCTCACAATCCTAAGAGAAGCTCTCCTTTTCTTCATGGCTCTTTTTCATGAGAGAAAACATGTCCTGTTTGTTAGGTTTAATACAGTTTATTTTGTGTTTGGTATGTTACATATGGAGATACACTTGTCTCTAAGTAATATAGAAGATATTGTTGTAAAAATGTTGTAGAGTTTCTTCAGGATCAGTTGAACTGATGAGTCTTGCTTAAGACGATGCATCTGAAAAACATTTGGGTTGACTGGGAGGGGAATTAGTAGATAGCAGTCAGGCAGTTGCGCCTTTGTTAATCTCAAGTCTTCTATAGGTTTCTCAGTGCTGGAATAAACTTACCAGGCATGTTTGCTTCCATGATATCGGACTATCAAGTTAACAAGAGCTTCTCCTAGGATTTAAAGGCATCTGGTTAATTTCGAATAATGGAGCAGAGTTGTTTTTTCAAAACTTTTCAATTTTTCTCCAGTGAGTGCATTATGACGAATCAGACAAAGGTTTTGTTTACATTTTAAATGTTGCTCAAACATTAAATATGTATGCCCCAGATTTGTTAAAAGCAGGCGGGAAGTCGAAGTTCAGTTCAGACTGGCAAACAAAGAGATGTATTTTTTAGGGCTGCCCTGTGCACTTGTACTGTAAAGGTACAGATAAATACTAGAGGCAATACACACATACCCCCATAGAGACAACCCATAGTGGCCATTTTCAGACATGGTTGTGCTGTGGAGGGGATTTTGATGCACATCTATTTGCACTTTACGGCTTCTACAGAACAACTTATCCAACAGACCTCGCGCGCTGCACTCTAATCCCTCTGGTCCACAACAATACATGGCAACCATGAAGTGGATCGGTCCTCACATATATACACCGAGGCGTCTGTCATTATAGTAGCATATTATGCCATTTGAGACAAAAAAAAGCATTGTTTGTTTTTTGGCCCCTGGGTCTTCAGTCATATTCCTACCAAAAACCACATCTTACTGTAGACGGGTGGACCTATTTGGTCTTAAATACCTTCAAATAAACCTTGGCATAACTCGTAAAACCTTAAATGTGGTAGAGGCATAAAAAAGACTATACACACTGGATCAAAATGATGAAAGTGAACAAGCAGATGTCATACATTTCATTACCGGCCCTTGAAATTGGAAAAAAGCCAAATATGTGGATTTAGGTCCACAGGCAGTATGCACCCCCAAAGTATATACATATGGACATCTCTATATTTCCTGCTAAAAACAAAGTGTTGGATTAATGTTGTGACACATTTCAAGGGCTCTAACATCATCAGAATGTTGAGATGTGGCAAGATTGGTAATGTGGATTCATTGCTAGAACCTTGAAAATGTGTGTGAAAAGGGGTCTTTATGTGGGTATTTTGTGCTTTCAGTAACAAGTTCCTTCCATGTAGTCTACATGTTAAAATTGAGCAAACAGAGGCTTTAAGCACAATCAACTACCTGGCATACCATCGAGGTCCCAGTGAACTTTTTTCAGTGCTAAGTGAACTGTATTGAGTTGTTGTGTTAGCTGCATGTGTTGAAATCTTTACATGTTACATGCTCCATGGAAGTGGCTTTTGAGCGCTTCTTTTATGCAAATATGTGTATTGAGATACATTTTGAGAGTATTTCTTACTTGTAGGTTGGATTAATCTCACCCTAACTTGCAAAATATAGGTCTATAGATGGTTTATAGATGCCGCATCTTGTTAAATTTAAACGTGAAGACAACATGTAAGGAACTTGAAACTTTACACACAGAATGCACTTATAGGCCCTTTTTTCACCATTTAGGCCCTGTCCACACAGAGACGAAAACGAACCGAGGTCGATATCAAAAAATTCTTCCGTCCACACGGAATCAGCACAAGAAACGTGTCCGCCCACACGAGACCGCTCGACCAGCTGGAGACGCTGTAGTACATATGCCGGGCCTGTCAGTGGCGCTGTACTTCCGCCACAAAATACACTAAAAGCAGCAAATAAGACCCCTCCTGCATGGTTGCCTGGTTGCCCTTTTGGTTATTCTCCGCAGTGGATTTAGCAGCTAGGAGAACTACATTTTAGCAACATGTAGTTCATGTAGTTCTCCATGTCCACTTGTTGCTGATGGTTGTGGTAGAGGAGCTGTAGATTTTGCACTAACATCTGTAGCATGGTCAGTAGCGTCTGGAGCACGAACGCAACCCTGTGATCCGCCATTGTTGTTGGTGAAACGCATCAACAATGACGGGGGTGAGCAGGAGAGGCGGGGCTATGACAGTTTAGGGCGTACACACGGCGCCACAAGCGTTACGTTAACAGACCTTCCCACTTTGGGATGCGTTATCGTTTGAGGGCTCCGTTTCCGCGGTTCCGTTACGGCCTCGTGTGGACGAACCATGTCCATACGTAAAGAACTATAGCGGGATAAACACCCGTTTCATTCTCCGTAT